GGTGTATGTTTTTGATCAGTGTCGAATTCTGAGTCGATTTAGCTTTGTATGTACGTCCGCCCGTCCATCCGTTCCAACAATAACTCAAAAACTCATTGAGCTAAGTTTACCAAATTTTCGCAAAAGATTTATTATAGTAAGTGCCAGAACCCTATTTAAATTGGATATGATCGGGGTACTTGTTCGGGTAGCTGCCATACAATTTCAAAATTTATTTAGCTGTGGGCCTCATAAAAGTCGTTAAAATTACTTTTCTCCTTCTAGTACCTGCCATACAACTTCAAAAGTTATTTGTCTATATCTCAGAAACTATAAAAGCTGTGGTATTTAAATTTCACAGAAGCGAATATATTAGTAGGGCCAATGTGATTGATAAATTTCGTTAAAATTGCTTGGCTCTTTCTGGTAGCTGCAATAAAAGTTCAATAGTAGTTTAGCACACACAGTATTTTGAAAAACACAGTACTGAAATTTTGCATAAATTAATATGGTAATACGGCAACTTAAAGTTATAGTCTGTTTCATAGTCAGCTATGACATATTTATTCGCACCTAGGATAACAAGCGGCCAACTTAATTTTTTTCGTTTTTTATCAATTTAATTCAATAGAATATTAAAAATAGAATGAATTTCAGTCGTAACATGAGTATTCTACGACAAGTTGAACATATGGTTGATACATAACATATTATTATTTATGTACTATAAAAATAACAATAACCACAATAATACGAAAAAAAAATTGTTGTTTGTTTTAGGGACAAAGCGGAAAAATTAAAAAGGAAACCCAGAGGAATTATTAATTATTTTATTTCTTCGGCTCTCTAAAATATTATATGGTAAGCGATATTATGTTTGTAGAGAGGTATATTACAAAACGTAGAATGATTTAGATCTGGAAAATTTAGAGGATAATCCCTTTAAGATCATTTGAGGCATTCATTCTAAACTGTTTTGAATTGAATGAAAATTTCTATGTCTGAAGATCTTGTCCTAGTTTTTCCGCAAGAGTGGAAAAATTAGGACAAAAAAAATGTCATAGAAAGTGTAGTAAAATATTCATTTAAAGCTAAAGTACAGGTCAAGGTCATTAACTTTCTCTAAAACGATATTTTCAAAACATTTTCATTTAATTTTCAAATATTCTTCAAACGTCACCTCACTGAATACGCAATGCATTGCAAATCTCGTTGATTATCCTAAAGATTTTTGAAGTATTACGTTGAATAAATAATGTCATTATGTTACGGGCTCAAAGCGTTAAACACAAAAAATAAAAATTTTTTTGAAAATCTATAGAAAAGCAACAAGCGATAGCAAAAAAACAAAATAAAAAAGCAAAACATGAAAAAATAAAATTTTAGTTTAAAATCTACACGTTTTTAGCGCTTTTTCAAAAACATTCTGGAATGAAGTGCTAATTAGTTTCGCTCTGTTCATCCGTCCACTAACCTGTTTACTGAAATTTTACAAATTTCAATAGATCTTTACTAGAAACTTATTTTCGTAGAAGAAACTTTTTAGGTATATATCGCTCTCCCTCTAAAAGTTATGGTCCTTTCTTAGTACGTATTTATATAGCTTGGTTAGTACCAAAGTTTCTCAATGTGGTATAGCTTAGTTGAAAAATGACCGTTTTAATTTTTTTGAATTTGATACCGTTTTTCTTCTACAAATCTACACTATAAATTTTTCGGGTCTGAAATTTCAGCAACCTTTACATATTAATAACTAATTTCTTTGGAAGAAACTTTTTTTCCACCTATCTCAAGTTAAATCGCTCAAAATTCGGAATGTTTTAATTTATGGCACTTTATATTTCCGAAACTGCAAGATTTTCCAAATTTCTTTAAATTCAGAAAGGTTACGGTAAATGCCATGCCATTAAAAAATATAATTTAAATAATTATAACTGCGAATTAGTTACTAATCTCACACATCAAACAAATTCAATTTGTTTTTTTTCTTTAATTTTATCCTAATCATTTGAAATATTGTGGTACATGAATGAAAGTAATTTAAAATGTAATAGTTTTTCACTTGTTGAAGGAAAAAGTACTGCATTACAAACCAATGGTTTGAACCTACTCTACTTTTCTCTTCATTTATTCATTTTTCATTGCATTAATAAGAGAACGCGAGCAAGCATTTTACCAAAAGCTAAAAACCAGATTATATTTTTGCTTTTTTTTTCGAACTCTTTAGTTTACATAGTGTTTAGCAAAATAATATATACAAAAAAAAATCGTATGTTTTTTTTAGAGAAAAAGAAATATTGAATTTTTTATGATTTTATGAAAAAGGGGTTTTTAAGAGTCTACAGAGATGCAAAAAAAAAAAAAACAGAAAGAAACAAATGGAAAAATATAGAATGGAAAAAAAAAACTTTTCTTTTGATTTTGCAGGCAGTGGCAGCATATTATTGATTCGAACAGGCGACATTTTAATTCATAAACAAAACAAAAAAAAAAAAAACAAATGCTGCTTTTATAGTGGAGGCCTATCGAAACCAAAACAAAAAAAAAGACAAAAATAAAATATTGGACAAGGCAAATATCTTTCGCTGCAAATAATACCAGCTAGCATGATTGTGTGTCACAATAATAAAATAATAATAATAATATGAATAGGTGCATAATATGGACAGTAAATTGGAATACAGTAGAAATTGTGTATAACAACTTTTCTACATTGAATTGAAAGAGATTATTTAACGAATATTGTATAATAAATTGCAACTATTGGATTTTTATGCGGCGCATAAATTGAATGATATTAGGAAAAACAGTTTTACTTTTGAGTTTTTCTCGTAGGGCACTTCAATACCTATGCGTCCGATTTTGTAAATTTTTTTTTCTCCAATTGAAATTTTGTGCATTTTTCGTGTTGAAAACGAACTGCAATCGTTATAAGTTCTTTTCATCAATCATTTTTTAATGTCGAATGGGTGAAATAGAAATAGACTATTAAAATATTGCCAATAATGCAAAATTTGTTTTAAAATGCGTATAAGAGTTTGCTCATACTCATATATTTTTTTTAGTTTTTCATAAATTTTACTTAAAGCCTAGTTTTTAGTTTCGCATAAATTTTATGAATATTTATTGAAAATTAAATTGATTTTTATCCAAAATTATTTTTAATCAATAATTAACTTTGTTTTGCATTAATTTTACCTAATCTTATTTTGAATCCAACTGTTATATTATATATATATTATTTTCAGCAGCTATCATTTTTGTATTTAAGATGCTTAACTTATTGTTTCGTTCCAACGTCTCTTCTATTCATAATATTCGTAAGGTTTTTAATACTCTGCGATTTGAACGAGTTTTGGTTGCTGGTTCAAGGCTCTTTAATAGCTGTTTGATTTAAAAAAAAAAATAAGGCCTTTCATCTTGTCGCCAAATTACTTAAATTTAATTACTAAAAATTTCTTTTTTTTTTCTGGGTTTCTCATATAGATGTTTTTAATTTTAGTGCTCTTAGTTGTATTTTTCATTGAACTTGCTTTTTGATTGAATAATCTCTCTTTCTATATTATTTTGTTATACATAATCATGTCATGTATGTACTATATTATTAAATTGTAATAGTTTTGTTATATTTACATATTATTGCCTTTATGACAATTATTTCTTACATTAATTTCTGGCTGTTACTCATTTTACAAACTTATTAATTCCTACTAATCCGAAATTAGGCGAGGGTAATAATAGTTGTATATTTTTACTGTAATAAACTTGTGTATTTTAAGATGAAATTCTTAAAATAATATAGAAAACAAAATATTGTCGAAATAAATTAGATTTTACTGTACTACATTATTTAGGCCGTTTAAATACTCTCATTTAGTACGTATGTAACTTAAAAAAATTATTCTGCTATCGGCTCATAGAATACTAACGCATAGAATTCAAATATGCAAGTGTATGTACAATTTATATGCATAGATAATATTATTATGCATTCATTGTGTATAGAGACATAGTGTTGCATATAGTATGCAATTTTTTGGGGTGAATTTTTTTTTTTATGTGTATTTTTCATTATTATTTTTATTCTTTTTTTTTATCACTATTATTATTATTATTATTTTATGCTTTTACTATGTGTATTTTGATAATGGGGTAGGCAGGTAGGTAAATATAAAATCCTATATTTGTAGTGCGTTTACTATAAGGTCTCCGTATAATGATAAAAATTACAAAAAAGTAAAAATAATTAAAAATAAGAAAAACATAAAAAAAAAGAAAATAAAAAAAATGTTAGCTGAGCCTATCGTTTAAGAGCAAAAAAAAAAATTTTTTTTTTTGTTTTTATTTCTCTTTTTTTTTGTTTCTTTATTATTATTGTTATACTTTTAGGCGCGCTGCTCTACATTAAATTGCATGCTGTATTGGCAAATATTACAATCAATTTGAATTTTTTGTTTGTTTGTTTTTATTTTGTTTTTTTTTTGTTGCATTGCTCTTGTTGTTGCATTTTTGGATTTTTCTTAACAAAATTGAAGAAAAATAAAATAAAAAATAAAATTTTGCACGGTTTTACCTATGCTTGTAAGTTTTTTTTTGGTATGTTTTTTTTTTACCAAATATTGTATTTTATGTACACAAATGTACATATACATAATGTATGTATGTTTGTATATAGTGTAGAGTTGCATTTTTTGGTTACAATATGCCTATCTGTTCTTTATTTTTTTTTTTTTGTGGGTTAATATTGGCCGGTTAAATGAATATGTGCAATGAAAATGCAATGAAAATTAAAAAAAAAAACAAACAAAAAAAAAATAATTGCAAGTAAAAAGTAATCTGATTTTTTTCTTTCATCATTGAAAAGGAATACAACGAACGAACGAACAGAAGAAATTATCGCCTTAGACTTTACTATAAAAGTCGAAGGTATAGTTCTGTAGAATCGTAGTCTACCTCAGGTGTTCTGTGAAAAAACAACAAGTTTGCTTTTTTTGGTTTTTTTTTTCTATAAAATAAATTTCAAAAAAAAAAATTACCTTAAATAATAATATTTAAAAATATTATATAAATTAAATTCTAAAAATAAAATTTTAAATTAAATTAAAGCCAAAATGTTCAAAGTAAGGAAAAAAAAAAAATTTAAAATTTTAAAATTTAAAATAAAAACAATTAATATTAAAAAAAAATATGAATTAAGGACTTTTATTATTTGTGCTGAAATATTGAAAATTAATTAATTTACAAATGTTTCATAAGTGTATTCTAATTTGAAAAAAATTCTAATATTAAATAAAATGTGAATTTAGAATTTAATAAAGATTTCAACATTTTAATCCTATATTCGACCTCTTATGCATACTGTATTATATAAAAGGATATTATATAATATAAGTATATATTGTTGAATATAAGATAAAGAATTATATTATGAGAAATTCTAATGAAAGAATTCAATTTCAGAAATTGAACGATAGAACAAATTTTCAGTTTGCAAATAAAATAAAAAAAAATATTCTAATAGGAGTAAAATTTAAATTTCTATTAAAATTCAGAGATTTTAATTTAATTCTTTAGTAAATAACTTGTATAAAAATGTGATCCTTTTCAATTATAAATTAGAACAAAAGTATTAATTAGAATTAATATACTCGTAAACTAGATATTTTTAATAATATAAATTTTTTTTTCATGAAAATTTTTAATAAAATTTATTATTTTAACATTTTACTAATGGTTCGGTTACCAAGTTTTTCGAATACAGAAACAATATTGCTTTGAAAATTCTATATTTAATTAAAAATTCCTTAATTTTATATTTGATTGAAATTGTAATTGCATTTTATTGATTGGCGGGTACGGTATGATTTACTAAAATTTTTTTAAAATTCTAAAGCCGAGTTCTCTCTGATTTCGAATTTGTACTGTTTCTAGTTCACATAAGAAATATATGCAAATTTATTGCTGAACATAATAATACGATAGGGATTCATTCAGTTTATTTAATTCTAAATAACAACAAAATCTGGAGTTTTCAAGAAAAAACTCCCAAAGTTGACCATTTAGTCCTTAATTCGAAAAATTCTGTATATTATTTAATTTTTAAAGGGAAAATGTGTAGATAAAACTGTAGGGTCTAAATTTGTATTAAAAATATAGAATCTACTTGAAATAATTTTCAAATATTTTTCATTTTTCAAAAACTAACTTTATATAAATTCCATATAAATAATAATATTATACCTTATGTTATTTTGTTTCATAAATATTTAATATAATTTTTTTTCATTTCTTCTTATTTTTTTCTTTACAATTCAATTAAAAATTATTCTACTTACCAATAAACACCTACAATAAATAATTCATATTCAAATATACATATTTTTTTATATAAATATGTTTTATATACATATATATATATATAGTTCATCACATTATTCGTATTCATTGGTATTGCTAGTGCACAACATTATGCACATGGACCATTATTAGGACATTATGCAGCACCAGCTGTTGTTAAAGCAGTTGCACCAGTAGTTAAATATGCAGCACCAGCAATAGTTAAACAAGTAGAATATGATGCACCAGCACATTATGATTTCTCATATTCAGTACATGATGAACATACTGGTGATATTAAATCACAACAAGAATCACGTCAAGGTGATGTTGTACATGGTTCATATTCATTAATTGATGCTGATGGTTTCCATCGTATTGTTGAATATACATCTGATGCACATAATGGTTTTAATGCTGTTGTTAGACGTGAACCATTAGGACATAAAGTTGTTAAAGCAGTTGCACCAATTGCTAAAGTAATTGCACCAGCACCAGTATATCATGCACCAGTTGCACATTATGCAGCACCAATTGCTAAAGTAGCATATGCAGCACCAGTTGCTAAAGTTGCATATGCAGCACCAGCTGCCCATGTTGCAGTACATGCACCAGCTTATGCCTATCATCATTAAGAAAAAAAAAAAATAATTTAAAAAAAAAAAAAATTTTTTTTTTTTTTTTGTTTAACTCTTATATAATTTTAATATATGAAAATTTATTTTATTAATATTATAAAAAAATTCTGTTTATTTCTGTTTTTTTTTCTAATTTCTTTTGTATATATATGTGTCATACATATAAAATATAAATAATATGAAAAAATCTCTATATATGTATGTATATTTCAAGCATTTTATACATTTAATTATGTATTATGTGTTATAAATGATTCGTATATAATATAGAGATTTTATGAATCTTTAAATAATTATTATATTTATACTGTATTATCACATTCACTGCAACACTTATATTATCTACTATACATTGCTAATTAACTATTATACTCTTATACATTTACTATCATTTATCATATTATAATAAATATTTGTAAATATAGGAAAGAGACAGCAAAAAAGAAAAGAAAAACAGAAAAAAAAAATTAAAGAAAATCTTTGTAACTATTTCAATTCTTTTGAAAAAGAAAATTATAACAAAAACAAAAAAAAAAAAAGAAAAACAAACAAACCAACAATAATAAAACATTCATTATTATTTATAACTGTTATAAAGTCATTGTTAATTTAAAAGCATTTACATTATGTATAAAAAAAGGAAAAAAAAAATTTTAATGAATAAAGAAAAAATATTTAACATTATAAAATTACGTATGTATATTTAAAAGTGAGCTATATATAACAAAAAAAAAAAAACAAAAGGCAAGATGAAGGAATTCTACAAATAATGTATAAAAGAATCAACAACAAAATAATAATATGTAAACGAATGGGAAACGGAAACAGTATAACAGATTTGGATCTAAACAGATGAATTGATTGAATTTCACTATGTGTCATTTATATATTATTTTATATATTCTATATTTTTCTATATTATCATTATTATTATTAATATTAATATTATATTAAAAATTTAATTACTCTATTTGCCATTTTTTGTGTAGTTGTCTATGCACAATAATTAAATAATTATATCTAATATAATAATATATTATATAAAAATAATAATTAATATTACGACATCTGAATACTCTTAGTAAATATAAATATTACTATATATATAATTTACTATACACTTTTATATATGCATATATGTATGTATAACAGTTATGTAAATTATGTTAAAAGAAAAAGCGCGAAAACAAATCTCATCTAGATCAATTACCATTGCATTTTTAAATTTTTTTATTTGAATAAGATGTGCCTAACTTGTAAATACTATTAAAAAAAAAATTTTTTTTTTATTAAAAAAAGCAAAACTAGAAAAAAAATATGTATGATTTTTTTATCACAAAAAAAAGAAAAAGAAGAAAATCAATATGTATAAAAAAAAAATAGAATAAAAAAAATTTTATGCAAAATATTAAAAAAAGATAAAAAAAAAATCTTTTTATTTCACTTTTTGTATAACACTTTCTATTTTATTGATATTAATTTAGCAATTCTCTACGGCAGGCTAGTCACCTACCTAGTTAAACCCTATGACGCTATGAAACTAATGCATGAGAAATCATGCACTAGCCCTATGCTCCTTCTAGGAGTGAACAAAGGAAGAAAAAAAAATTAAGCAATTCCGATTTATTAGAAGAGAACCCCTAAATGATACAATCCGTTTGATCGAGAATAGATTTAGGAGATAAGAATGCGGGTTTGGGAGATGAGAACGAATTCTTTTGACAATATGAAAAATAATATTAGATCAACTCTTAACTATTGTGAGAAAAACAATTGAAAAATTCATAAATCATAAAAATAACAATTTGGCAGGGAATTCGAAATATGAGCTCCATTCTGCAATTCACTTTTTGCCTGAATGGAAATAGAAGAAAGAGAGTAAATTTGATAATCACACCCATATTCCTCACATGTTATGTGTATTCAAAGAATCTTGTCGGTTACTAAGTGATAGTAACATATTTCTTGTCTAATTCTTGTTACAATCACTTATTCAATGTTTTATTCTAGTCTATCACAAATAATCCCTTAATACGATGTTAGATGTAAATACTTGCGCTATTCTGAAAGTCATATTGGGAAGAAATAAAGAATTGAAAGTATTTCTGATTTTATCTACTTATTTTAATTTATTTAATTTGTCTAAATAAGAGCTTTATATTATAGAGTTATGCTTAATCCTATTTACTAAAAGTTAAGAGTCTTGTTGAATAACAGCATAGTTTATAAAAGTTAAGTAAAGTTTTACAGCTCCTCAAAATTTCTTTTAATATTACACAAGATAATTTTTCAAAAATTTTAAAATTTTTACTGCATGTTGGCGAAATTCACATGGTGTCCATAATTTATTTTATACAATATAAATTTCATATTTTTATTATAATATTAAATTTTCTCAAAGTTTCTTTTCTAGGATTTTGAAGCCGATTCCATAAGAATACGTCGAAATATTTACGATTATTTTGAATAATTATTCTCTTAATAATAATTCTTACAAATCGAGATTAAAAAGGTATTTAGCAATTCTTTGTCAAATGTTCTTTATTGGTTAAACTATGGTATTTTGCTCCATCAATGAATATTTTTAATGATTTGTGCACGATTCAGTGTATCTACTTAATAATAATTTTCATCTACTGCAGATCAATTCTTTTCCGTAACAACTTTAATTTGTCTATATTTTATTTTACTACAATACTGTTAAGGATCAAGATACGTAGAAGTAAATACATAAAAAATAATCCAATTAATTTGAAGAAAAACTGATAAGAAAAATATTCATTTTATTGCATCCTATTATGCTATATTATGAAAGTATATTCCAATCATTGATTTCAGATTTAATTTTTCAATTTAGTTTATGGCATGCTTTCAACAACAAACTGATTACACAATTTAATAAGGAAGAAAAAATACCAAAAACAATGCAATGACCACACCGTATACTACATTGCTACATATTATTTCAATAAATTTATGTACATATACAATTTCGGAATTTGATCTTTTAACTGAATATTTTGTCTGTTTAGTGGGTGGTTGATTGGAAATACTTACATTATTTTTAACCATATTAAATTTAAAAGAATTACAATATAACAGAAAATGATGTTATATATTGTGTACAGGTTGTATTCGAATATTAATTGTAGCATTTTGAATGGTACCAAACATGTATAGGAGAACACATTTTGTCAACATATACACATAATACATAACATTTGCATTACAGTATAATTATTTTTAAATATATATATCATAGTTTAAAATTAAAATGTTATACAAGCAAGGGAATTAAAAAATATAAAACAGTATAAGATTAAATTGACCAAGTCCCATTTTTTAATATTAAATTATAATAATATTTTCTGAAAGAATAAATTAACTGTAATATTATACAGTATAACAATATTTATATACATGTTTCTAAATAATTTATAATATTAAATTAATTTCGAAACTCTTTCAACATCCTGTACTTTTAATTTATTATTAATAAAAAATTAGAGTAAGTACACAAGAAAAAAGAAAACTATAGAAGAGAAAAGGAGAATACAAGACTACAAGTCTGATACAAATGACAATAACAATGTTAACAGTTTTTTATCCTCATTTAAGATCTTGTATTTATATTACAAATAAATGGGAATACATAAATAAACCATTATTTTTAACCATTTGTGTTAGTTTTTATAATTCAGCAGTAAACTCAGTTTGTGTGTGTATAACGTAATTTAAAATTACAATTAAAGCACTCCTAACTTACTAACCAATATTACATACATTTTATTTATTCAGTTAACTCTAATTTTAATAAAACTGGCTTACATTTTTCTAAATTATAATTTTATATACAACAGTTGAGATATCATTAAAAATGTATTTAAAAAAAATTTTTTTCATAACTTTCGCTTATTTAATTTTTAAATTTTTTTTTTCCATAAAAATATCATTAATGTTTTGTTAAATAATGTGCTGTACATAAATATTTTCATTAATGTAATGTATAGTTACAACTTTTTAATATTGAGTAATTAAAGTGACCATTATTGTATTAAATTTCTAAAAAAATATTTGATTATTATTTGTAATTGATTTTATTAATACTTCTAGTTGGACTTGTTCTTAAGAGAATCAAATAAAGCGATTTCTCTTAAACTATAATGTGAAAATTCAAAGAAACAAGAATACTCAACTAAACTTGAAATATCGAACAAATTATGCAGAATGTGTTACAAAGAATGAAAATTTCTATTAAAATTAAAGAAAATCTGCTTAAAACTGTACAATATATTTGAGTAAGTTTACTTAATATTTAATCTTGTACCAAATTTAGTTTTTTCTATTACAAATCATATACTTTTTGAATACACGGTTGTAAAATTCATTTTTCAAATTTTGACTATATAAGAAATTAATTAAAATTAATTTTTCAATAGAAATTCGGCTATTATACTCGTAGTTCGGCTTAATTAAGCAAATTTAAATTAAGATATTAATTTTGAAAAAAAATTTTGATTTTTTACATTTTAACCCATCACCTCGGATTAATATTGTTGTACATCAACTAAATTTTCCCGTAAATTTCAATTTACATTAAAAAATTTTACGTTCTAATAAAAAACCATCTAATATTTTTTTTTGTTTTTTTGAGGATGGTCACTCTATGATCTATAATCCAACTGTTATTATGTGTAAAGTGCATACAAAAAAAAAAAAACAAAAAACAAAAATTATGATGAAAACCACAATCACTTGATCACTTGATGCTGCCCCTTTTTTAATAACTATGTCGTATAACTTGTTGTCGTCATTAAGTTGATCGTATATGAAAAAAAATTTTGCTCTAATAGTTTTTTTTATAAATTTTTTTTTTTACACATTCTCATATTAGCTATGTTTTATATGATGAAAGCAAAACGAATCATGGAAATGTCATTTATCATTTTAGGATTATGTTGCTTTTGTATATATGCCATAGTTATCTTGTCATGTTA